ATCCTAAATTACTTTAATTGACTAATTTCCTCAAGTTTTCCTTAGATTCAATTGCTCAATACAAGTACACAAGAATCAACTATATTCAACTCTTCAACTCAATACGATTATCTCAAGAACTCATCAAATCCTCAACAATCAAGATTACAAATGAAACTTCACGAAAACTCATCAAGAACTCAAATCCTTCAACTTTCAAGAACAAAATTACGCTGAAATTAACATGATTGGCATGTGGGTGAACGAACCCAACACTATGAGAACTCACATACCTCTTAGGGATTAAACCCTTGGCGAAACAACCTTCGATTCGTAAGAAAACTTGATGAACGCCTTGACTTTTCTCTTTTCTCCTCTTCTTGAACTCCTCTCAAAATCCTAAGCGTAAATTAGTTTGGAAACACTGAATCAAATCAGTTTAGACCCCTAATTATTTACTAAAAACGCTTAAATCTGAAAGGGTAAAGAAAAGACCAAAATACCCCTCATATTTTCAGGGAACTTTCCTTAACCGGACAACACGACTTTAAACGGGTATATATCTCTCATATAAGCTCAAAAATTAACAAATTTGGTGGCATTGGAAAGAGGATTCCAAGACCTTTCATTTGATATCTTATGAGCCACCTAACTAATCCTGTACTGAAAGTTATGGTCGTTTGAAGTTGACCCAAAACTCTTAACTTATGCATAACTTGCAAAAATTTAGATTTTGCTACTTCCAATTTAGTTCTTTCTAATTTTTAGCTTTTTCAAATAGCGATGTGTTACAATATGTCACTTTGCTATGAAAATACAACAGTGAAAAGGCCAAAGCAAGATATGTTAGTGATAATGATGATCCTTCAATGCTTAGGGGTCATTTCACACCACTAGACCATGATGATTTAGTTAATCTGGAATAGTTATAGTGTATCAATGGATACACATTGTTTTTTAATTTGTACTATTTTCAAGATACATTAACTCAAGTGTTGAAGCGCTTCTCTAAAAACTTGTTTTGTTTGACTCTTAATATCAATCTATTTTGTTCCGTTAATCTCAAAATGTATATTTGTCTATATTTTTTTCAATTGTAATCATAATGTGTGTGGTAAACAATACAAATTAGGATAATTTTAAAAATTATTCGAATCAACCTATCTTAATGAATTAAAGTATCACACATTTTTATCGTTCATGATGTTATTGATACACTTAATTTATAACATTTGTAATATACATTTCTTACCTGTATAATGTTCATTATTTAATGTATCAAATATTTTTTTAACATTTTATGTTATATGTGATACATTAAAGACATGTTGTTTACAATCATGATATATCAGATACATTATTTATCAAAATTCAACAAAACTATTCATTACATGTATATTCTATCAAATTTACAAATGTTAATAATTTAATAGTGTTATTAAATCATCATCAATCAGAAATGAACACAAATTTAAACATTTTTTTTGTTCTGATAAAATTTGAACTTGAAATATCATATCGACATTCATTAGAACTCATCATTTGATTAAAATATTATTTCTCAATCAGAAATAAATTGAATCAATAAAATAAAGCTAAATAGAACGACATATGAAACTTTACTCAACAAATTGCGAGCCTAGTTTATTTGAAACGGTAAGGTAATATCCTAACAAAATCTTTGCGACCAACAAAGCATGAAAACTAGATGCATTGAATATAAATAACCAATCAAAAGCAATAAAATGTCGGAAATTTCTTGAAAATCAAATGTAATATGCACACAATGGACCACTAAAAGTTGAAGTACAAGCATATAATGGTGCAAAGAGAAAAGAAGGGTAATTTCCTTGTCACCCTCAACACGAGTTGACTTCATTCATTCATTGTGATGAAATACAACATTCCTTCAACAGTTGTAGAAAAACTATCTAATTACTCAAATATTTTTACCATAAATACTACTTATATACATGGAGAGAGGAGAGCGAAAGAGAGAGGTGAGCGAGAGAGTCAACATGTATCTTTTGATACTATATATATACTAATTACATGCTAAAATATAGATACATAAAGAGAGGGTGAGAAAGAGAGTCAGTGTATCCCAGATACATACGAGTCACACTTGAATACAATGTATTTGAAATAAATTAAACAAAATTTGACTTGCATGTATCTGAGTGTGCCAGATACATGTCTCTGGTGAAGTAAATGTGGTACAAAAGGTAATTTCAAAAATTAAAATAAAGAAACATAATTAGTTCTTAACTAGTAAGATTTGTGTTGTTTGCTCATAATATTAATATGATCCAAATTTTCTTTGTGCAAATGGATAGTGGGTCCATAACCATAAATGAGAAGAACTAAGTAATTACCTACACTTATGTTGTGTTTTTCAAGAGTAAAATTGACTAATTTTTAAAGATAAATTTGATTATATTAATTTGATGTTTTAAAATAAAAATTTAGATATTCAAAAACTCTACAAAAAGTACCGTAAATTGCAAAAACAAATTCATATCAATATGGTGAAAAATTATATTTTAAAATGTTAATCAAAGTTTATATTGTTTGGCTCTAAAAAAAACGGTGACAAGTAAAAAGGAATAGATGGAGTATCACAAAGTATGCACTTTTGTCGAAATGTTGTATTGAAATACATATAATATATGTGTTATGTGTATATTTACTTGAATATTCGTGTTTACTCTACTCAACACACCCCAAATGTGTTTCTCCATTTATTGTTGAGGCTGGAGTTTGGTGACCTTTTCCTAATTCAAAAGAAATAATATGGACTACTAATAGCACAAGCAGATAAAAGTGCAGAGAAAAAAGAATGGTAATTTCCTTGCCACCGACAACACGACTTGACTTTATTCCTTCATTGTGATAATTACACAAACATTTCTCTTCATAAATATTAATTCATTCTATAGTTTGAAATAATTATATATTGTCTCACTAATTAATAATTTCGTACCAGATTATAAGTCAGATACACCCTCCTTCAGATATCAAGTTAGATACATGTATCAATAATACTAGATACATATATCTATGATATCAAATACATTCTAAAATATAGATACATACGGAGAAAAATGAGTGAGAGAGGAGAGAGGTGAGTGAGAGAGTCAACAATTATCTTTTGATACTAGATACATATATCTTTGACTCCTGATACATTTTGAAATACAGATACACAGGGAGAGAGGTGAGCGAGAGAGCAAAATCAAAAGGCGGATGAGCTAGATAGGAGAAAGGCGAGTGAGAGTGTCATTATATCTCAAATACATGCAAATCACACTTGGCTACTGTATATCTAGATACAGAAGATAATATCAAAAACTAAAATAGATAGACATATTTAGCAAGGCCGACTCAACAAGATTGGAGGCCTAAAGCGAAATTTAAGGGAGGGGGCCTAATATTTTATTTTTTCATCATATATACTTTTATTTAAAATCTATTTTTCTAGCTTTTTTAACTGCAAAATCATTAGTTATTGTTTTATAATCGATTTGTTTTAATATTTCCTTTTCATTTGATAATATAGCTTAATCCATTCAATCTCTCTTGAGACATTGTTGATCTTAAATAAAATTTAATCAATTTTAGTTTTGAAAAACTTTTTTTGGCTGAGGCAACAGTTAGAGAAACTGTTAACATAATTCTATAAGCAATATGTGTATTTAGAAAAGAATCAAGTCTTTGATTTGATTGTGCATTTTCATTAGATCACTATCTTCTACATGTACTATTTCTCTTAACACTTTCAATTCAAAAAATAAATCTAAATCATCAATAGCAGAATAACTATTATGTGTTAAAGTTCAAGGTTAAGACAATGTTTTTTAAATTCTCATCATCTAATGATCTCAATTTACCACTAAATAAGAAACATAAAATATTTTCATATGCTTCAATTGGTTCAAATCTATTTTGAAGTGAAAAAGATAGCATGATCTACTATATATATATATCTTAAGTAATCAACTCTAGTTTCAAGGGACTTTGTGATTTCGTTATCAATATTTTCATCAAATTATTTTTTACGAAATTCAGGTTCTATATTCACTTCATATGCAATTTCCTAAGTAGAAATCATAGCACTCATAGTACATATAAATTTTATTTTTTAAAAAAATAACATTCATAAGTAAAAAAATATATTTTAAAATGGGGCCCCAAGAGATTGCTTTACACTCTGTTTGGATCATTGTTATCCATTGTTTCATAATGTATTGTATTGTATTGTATTGTACTCTATTGTACTATATTGTATGGTAGATACAATGTTTGGCTAGACTGTATTGTTTGTTGTTGTTTAATAACATTTTAATTGTTTGGTTTGATTGTATCGTACTGTATTATAATTTATAAATTTACTAAAATATCCTTAATTATTCTAGGGCAGGAGATTTGACTAGAATTAAATAGTACTAAGGTAAAGGGTAAAATAGTATTATGAAATATTATATAAAGATATAATTGGAAAAAGAAATTAAGTAACAATGGGAACACACCAAATCGGTTATTCCATAAAATAGAGATTTTCATTGTTACGTAACAAAGAAATTTAACAATACAATACAATATATTTTAAGTAACAATCAAAACAAACATTGTAGGTATAGTAACGATACAATACAATACAATGGGTAACAATGATCCAAACAGAGTGTTAGTGGCCTAGGGGTTAAGACGGCCCTGACATTTAGACCCTAAACTAATGAGATTTGTCTTGTTTGCTCATAATAGTAATATGGTCCAATTTTTCTTTGTGCAGATGGATATTGGCCCATAACCATAAATGTGAAAGGTACTCATATATATTCAATTGTGATGGATTCAAATTGGTAAAAAATGTATGGCTAACATCCCATTGGATTTCTGGAGCTGAAACTTCTCAGAATAATTAATGCGTTGACTAGAGTAGACATTAAGAAATTTCCTAGTAATATTATTAGTTGTTTGGAATGCTCATAGAAGCTTTCATTTTTGAATTGGTACTTGTTTATTTCTTCTTTCCTCTATATAACTAATCTGTTCATCAATTGATCTCATCCATACACTAGACTATTAATCGAATCTATGGCATCATCTTCTTCTTTTGCGAGTAATTCACAGTACTGTCCTCAACGGAAGTACGATGTCTTTCTAAGTTTTAGAGGAGAAGATACTCGAAAAAATTTTACGAGTCACTTGTACCAAGATTTGGAAAATAAGGGAATATTCACCTTTCTAGATGATAAAAGGCTAGAGGATGGAGATTCCATCTCAGAAGAACTTGTGAAAGCTATAGAAGAGTCTCAAGTTGCAGTAATCATTTTCTCAAAGAATTATGCTACGTCAAGGTGGTGCTTGAATGAACTAGTGAAGATAATGGAATGCAAGGAGAAAAAAATTGGACACACAGTCATACCGGTCTTCTGTTATGTGGATCCATCACATGTTCGATACCAAAGTGAGAGCTTTGCAGAAGCATTTGCCAAACACGAATCGAGGTACAAGGATGATGTTGAGGGGATGCAGAAGGTGCAAGGATGGAGGAATGCCCTAGCTGCTGCCGCAAATCTAAAGGGATATGATATCCGTGACTGGTGAGTTGAAAACACATAAACTGAAAAGAAACCATATGTGTATTGCATTATGGGACAAACCTCAAAAAATGAGTCAAAACAGAATCTTAATTATAATTTTGCATATTTCCGAATTATATATTTATATCAGTAAGAAGGAAAACTATTCTGATTGATTTATGTTTATATAACTTATTCACGATTTATGTCTCAAATTGCTCTACTAATTTTTATTCCTGATTCTTTATCTGTATATATTAACAATATTCTTTTTTTATATATAGGATTGAATCAGACTTCATTCAGCATATTGTTAGCCAAGTTTCGTCCAAATTATGCAAGACTTCAGTATCTTATTTGCGAAATGTTGTGGGAATAGATACTCATTTAGAAAAAGTAAAATCCCTATTAGAAATGGAGATCAATGATGTTCGGATTGTTGGGATCTGGGGAATGGGTGGAGTTGGTAAAACGACAATAGCAAGGGCTATTTTTGATACAAACTCAAATCGATTTGATGGTGCTTGTTTCTTGCGGATATTAAGGAAAACAAGTGTGGAATGCATTCTTTGCAAAATATCCTTCTCTCAGAACTATTGAGGATACAAGGTAACCACGTGAATAATAAAGAGGACGGAAAGCACATGATAGCTCATAGACTTCGGTCTAAGAAGGTTTTAGTTGTGCTTGATGACATAGATCACAATGACCATTTGGATAACCTAGCTGGAGATCTTGATTGGTTTGGCAAAGGCAGTAGGATTATTGCAACAACTAGAGATAGACATTTGATGGGAAAGAATGATGTAGTATATAAAGTGACTGCACTACTTAAACATGATGCTATTAAATTGTTCCATCAATATGCTTTCAAAGAAGAAGTTCCAGGTGAATCTTTTGAGAAGCTCTCGTTGGAGGTCATTGATCATGCTAAAGGCCTTCCTTTAGCACTGAAAGTGTGGGGTTCTTTCTTACATAAGAGGGACATAATTGAGTGGAGAAGTGCTATAGAGCAAATGAAAATTAAATCCAAGTCAGAAATTGTTGAAAAACTTAAAATTAGCTACGATAGACTGGAGACCATACAACAAGACATATTTCTAGATATAGCATGCTTCTTACGAGGGGAGGGAAAAAAATACATCATGAAAATTCTTGAGAGTTGTTATTCTGGAGCAAATATTGAATTGAGTGTCCTAATTGACAAATCTCTTGTGTTCATCGACGACTATGATATGATTCAGATGCATGACTTAATACGAGATATGGGTAAATATATAGTGAATATGCAAAAGGATCCAGGTGAACGTAGCAGACTATGGGACATGAAGGATTTGGAAGAAGTGTTTGTCAACAATACAGTAAGTAGACTAAACAACACAATAATATTCAATTTCTAGTTTTCATTTATCAAAATTCATTTATGTTATGTTATCAAGCCACGAATTAGTCTAGTAGCAGCTTAATATGTTTAATCTAACTTTTATTCTTTGGATTAACCTGAAATTTGATCAATACTTCGTACAGAATAACTCAATTAATAATCTTTTTAGCTAATATTACCCAACTATTTATTTTGAGTAACATTTTGTAAATAAAAATTCTCAAATGGAAAAAATACAAGTAAGGAGGGGCAAAAAATACAAGCTAATTGTACAAAGCATTTCTCTTGAGCAACATATTTCTTGAGAAGGGCCTAACTAATATTGTACCCTATTTTTTTTTTAATGATTGCTTTTCAAGAACTTCAAGTGCAATTATAAATAATTCAAAACATTCCAAAAAAATTGCATGCAAGGAGTAAGAAAATAGAGATATTGATAAGCGTATTTTACATGACATCTGAAGTTATAATTTGTGGGTTGTGATCTTTTTATCAGGGGACAGTGGCAGTGGAAATAATCTGGAATATTTATATTCCAAAACTATGGTTAAGCAAAGAGGCAATGAAAAATATGAAAAGACTTAGGATATTACATATAACTGACTGTCACGGATGGTTCCAACGGAACCTCGATACAGATTATAGCTCCGGGAGTGATTCGGAAGACAATGTTTCCTATGATTCCAATTGCCATGATGGTTTCATTGAGTACCTGCCCAACAACTTGCGTTGGTTTACCTGGTATCGCTATCCTTGCAAGTCATTGCCAGAAAATTTTAAACCGCAAAGACTTGTTCATCTTCAACTCCAGGATAGTTTGTTGCATGAATTATGGACTAAAAGAAAGGTACAATTTTATTTGAAATACTTTTTATTTTTGCAGAATAACAAAACTCCCCTAAAATGTAGACATAAATTTGTGTTGTTTTCATTATGGTCTTTGTCATCATTTGTCCTCCCCACGAGTCTCGGGTTTGAGATCCACACCGCCACATGGCATTATTGAAATAATATATTTTAGTCAACTGTCAAGTTTAAGGTGTTTTAGTTATTCTACCTTTTATTTATAGTACTAGCTAATGACAACACTTTTACATAGTTTATGAACATGTATTTTCCATAAAAAAATAAAAACAATTTCTAATTTCCCACAAAATATTTTGTTGACTCTCATAATCTAAAGCAGTAAATTAAACAATTTCCTTGTGTGTTTTGAATAGATACTTTTGCCGTCTCTACGAAGGCTAGATCTCCGGTTCTCTAGAAGCTTGATGGCAACACCAGATTTCACCGGGATGCCAAATTTGGAGTATTTGGATTTGGGTGGATGCAAGAGTCTTAAAGAGGTTCACCATTCTCTGGGATGTTCCAGAAAACTCATCTCTTTAGAGTTGTATGGTTGTATAAACCTTGAGAGGTTTCCATGTGTAAACGTGGAATCTCTTGAAAAACTATATATAATGAGTTGCTGTAGTTTAGAGAAATTTCCAGAATTCCTTGGAAGACTGAAGTTGAAGTTAGACATTGGTGAGAGAGGAGGCTCCAAGATAAGTAGTGATTTGCCTACAGAGCTAGATTTGAGTAATTTCAAAAACCTTGTAGCTTTTCCAAGCAGCATTGGCATGTTGAAAAGCTTGGTGAAGTTATATCTATCGTATTGCTCTAAGTTTGAAAGCCTTTCAGAAGGGATAGGGGATTTAGAAAACTTGGAGGAGCTTCATGCCGACTATACTCTAATCTCACAACCTCCATCTTCCATTATCCGGCTGAACAAACTTAAATCATTGAGTTTTGCAAAAAAAAAAACAGGAGGAGGTCTCGTAGATGGAGTGTTCTTTGTTTTCCCTCACGTGAATGAAGGGTTACACTCATTGGAAAAGCTAGATCTCCGTTACTGCAATTTAACAGATGGAGGACTTCCGGAAGACATTGGATGTTTATCCTCATTGAAAGAGTTGCATCTCCAGGGAAATAATTTTGAGCATTTGCCTCTAAGCATAGCCCAACTTGGTTCTCTTCGATCCTTGGACTTATCAGAGTGCAGGAGGCTTAAAAAGTTTCTAGGTGTTAATGTGGCTGAAGGGTTACGCTCGTTGGAAAATCTGAATCTCAGTTCCTGCAATTTAAAAGAGGGAGTACTTCCCGAAGACATTGGATGCTTATCCTCTTTGAAAGAGTTGAATCTCCAGGGAAATAATTTTGAGTATTTGCCTCGAAGCATAGCCCAACTTGGTTCCCTTCGATCCTTGGATTTATCAGAGTGCAAGAGGCTTAAAGAGTTTCTAGGTGTTAATGTGGCTGAAGGGTTACGCTCGTTGGAAAATCTGAATCTCAGTTACTGCAATATAATAGATGGAGGACTTCCGGAAGACATTGGATGCTTATCCTCTTTGAAAGAGTTGAATCTCCAGGGAAATAATTTTGAGCATTTGCCTCGAAGCATAGCACAAGTTGGTGCTCTTCAAACCTTGCACTTATCAGATTGTCATATGGCTCTGAAAATTATTCCTAATTTACCACAGAGGGTGATATTCACGCCATTGCCATATGGCTCTGAAAAGTACAATGATTTGATTCCTATTACGTTTGCCCGTGCCATGTTTCAGAATATCTCTGATTCACATTCCTTGTCATTTAGAATGTCTACCATTAAGCATGCTGGGAATAAAATCCCTAGTTGGTTCCACCATCGGGGGACAGATAAAAGTGTATCAGTCTATTTGCCTGAAAATTGGTACACATGTGATAACTTCTTGGGATTTGTTGTATGTTATTATGACAGATTAGTTGAAACCACAGCTCACTTGATTCCCTTATGCAATCGGATGCCGTGGATGATCCAGAAGTTATCCGTAAGCAATCATTCAAAGTGCTATAAATCTTATCTTGATGAACGATCTACTATTCATTTATTCTTTGTACCTCTTGCTGGCGTATGGGATACATCTAAGGCAAATGGAAAAACACCAAATGACTATGGATTTATTGGTGTAACTTTTTCTGGACAAATTAAGAATTACGGATTTCATTTGTTGTATAAAGATGAACTAGAGCATGAGGCGTTGTTACAAATGAGGGGAGATAATGATGAACCAACAGAGCACTCCATTTGGACAAGGAGGAACAGATATGATGATAGTGAACACCATAATGAAGCCAGTTGCTCGTCTTCTAAGAAACAAAGGTCTGGTACTACTGTTGATGTGCCAGTTAATCCAGAAACTTTGCAGCTCTTTCCGACAAGTCCTGGATTTTCGCTTAAATAAAGGTATATATAACTCATGATTTGGTAGTGAAATTGTGTTCTCTCTCTCTTTTTATGTAATTCTCTCCTGTTAGCTACAAATTAAAGTGTTCTTCCATAACCAATACATTTTTATTTTCATTCTTAGTCACCAAATTAGTGCCAGAAAGTGCAGGCAACACTAACAGTCCAAGACTGGGAATCTAAGGGGTTAAGAAGGAACTTTGCATGTTGAATATGAAATGGTAAGTAATAAGAGATGTAATTGCATCTTTATTGATCCTCAAGTAAAGCAACCTTCTGGAAATGTGTGTTTGAGAATCCCCGAGCTATTTTAATTCTCCTTAAAGTTTTGAATTAATATTCGTTCGATGGATATTTTGTCTCTGAATTAAGTTTCTAAGTTCCAAGACGAAATGAATATAGAAATGTGTATTAGAACGGATCAATTGGGGGAGTTAATTGAATGGATGGAGTAATTGATCCCTTGATCATGTCTTTCTGCAGATGCATACCCAACCGATATCGAGATTTCACTGTGTTATCACTTGAAGGTGTTATAAGTTCATAGAGAAAATGCAAAGTGTTATTCCCAAAGGTAGGATCCATGACTTACTACTCGTTCAGTTTGATGCTCTTGCTAATTGTTATATTCGGGGAAATTGCTGCTTTAAAAACAAAAACTTTATGTGGGATGCGTCAGTTTAAATACTTCTGCATCAAACATTTTCATGTCGAAAGGTATTGATCATGCTCTAACTTTAGCTATACACTTTTGTAAGTATTGCTCTGTCAGATTGTTATATTAGCAGAAATCTCTTTTTAAATGTAAATATCTCTTTTGTTATGGCAGGTAAGTTGGGAATAAGATGAAACAATCAAAGATGCAGTACAGCTTGAGACGGTGGGGGAAGCTGGAGTGAAGTTGAGGTTCGTCTCCCTCGTGATCTCTTTCAGTTCTCTTGTAATTCTTTTGTAGGAAAATGTGAAATATTGTGGATTAGGAATACAAGATATTTTAGGCATAATACATATATTGGACCTTAAACTTGGCTTCAAATTTTAACTTTGACCTCCAACTTTCAAAGTGCACAAATAGACACTTTAACTATCCAACCTTTTAATAAATAAACACGCGTGTCTTACCTGGCAAAACGCGTGATGTGCACGCATTTTGCGCGAGTGAGAAGTAATTTTTGAGGCACACAACAGTAAAAAAATGCTGAAATGACAATTCTACCCTTAATTAATTTTATTTTATTTTTGGTTCTAAAATGGACGTGTAAAGTGTTTAATTAGTTGGCAGCCATTGAGTGGCTCACTAATACACGTGGAAGCGTTTGCATTTCATGCGCTTTGCTCCAAAAATCACGTGTTTATTTATTAAAAGGTTGGATAGTTAAAGTGTCTGTTTGCGCACTATGAAAGTTGGAGGTCAAAGTTAAAATTTGAAGCCAAGTTTAAGGTCAAATATATGTATTATCCCTACTTTTTATCTTACTGTCTGCTCTCTAGCTTATTGACTTGTGATCTTTATGAAAGTAATAAGTAGCATCTGTATCTCGATTACTTATATAAGTGGTTTGTAACAAGTTTCACTCTTTTGGTTTTTGATTACTTCTGCAGTACAAACTGGGACCATGGTACTTTTAGAACAACGCTGGTAACTCCGCCTGTGAAGGACACATGTTTCCTCTGTTTGTAACAGAACAACTAGTAATTTGTTGTTTCAGAATATCTCATCATTGCGGCGTGACATTTCTGCTTCAGTCACTAAGAGTGTTTACCACAAGGGGGAATATTGCAAGTTGGTTCCACCATTCGGGAATTGGTAGAATTAATTGTATCAGTCAATTTGCCTGATAATCGGTACGTTAGTTAAAACTTCTTGGGATGACCCAGGAACTTGCCTAATCTTACCATTCAGAATGTGATACAAAGTTCTCCAACCATTCAGATTTTGAAACAGAATTATCCGACCATTCAGAATGTGATACAGAATTATCCGACCATTCAGAATTTGATATAGAATTTACTATTAATATTTTCTTTGGTACCTTTTGCTGTCTCCGCTCTATAAAACAAAGGTCACATGTGAATCTGCAGCCACAAGATTAGGCATAGTATGTAGAGCTGTTCTTAATCGACTCCTCATTTGATCCGATCTCCAAGGGAGAAAGTTAGAGGGAAAACGTCTGTATGGAGCTATGTTGCGCGGACTCTTCATTTTTGAAGGCGAACCCGTCTCGACGCGACACTGGTGCGGGTGCGGGTGCGGGGTGCGTGTCGGATTCGGTCAATCCGATCCGGACACTTTGACCAGAGCCGAGAAAAAATTGGGAAAGGAGATCAGTTTCCGGCGACCTCTTTAGAGAGGCGGCGGAGCTGTAAGAAGCTTAGAAAAAGTAAAAAGAAGAAGAAAGAGGAGTTTTTTCTTCATTGAAAAAGTAAAGAGAAGAAGAAAGAGGAGGAGTTTTTTCTTGAAAAAGTAAAAGTAAAGTCTTTTCAACTTTTCAACTTTTCAACTTTTCAACTTTTCTTGAAAAAGAGAACTAAAGGCTAAGGGTTTCTCTAGATAAGTGTGTCCTTTTTTATTTATAAAATAAATTAATACTTTTAATGTTTATTATATTCTCTCTTTTCTTTAACAATTATACTCCTTTTATTTTGTATGTAATTATATCAAAATATGCAATTCATTATTAAATATATTTCATAAATATTTTTAATAATATTTTATTATATATATCCACTTATTTGATTATACTAGATATATTATTATTGTTGTTATTGATATAATTTATTTTTCGAGGTACGCTAAAATAATAAGCAATTATACCATGTATATATAATATATTACACCTTATATTATATATACCATGTATACCAATTAGCCGTATCCCCGCACCCGTATCCATACTCGGATTCGCACCCCCGAATCTTAAAATTTAAATTTTGCCGAATCCGACTCTCGGATTCGCATCCGTCTCGGATACCCGCACCCGAGTCCGAGCAACTTAGGTATGGAGTATGCCTGGAAATTTTTAAAGTTGCTAATGTAACATTAGATTAGGTCACACAAATCATCGTCTTTTGTTGTCACGAGATTGAGTAGCTCACAAGTTCTTATTATATATTTTATCTGACAAAAAATTATGTATATGAAGGTCTTGAATATCCTTGAAGTCGTGGATATTGTCAACAGAGAAGGGACTCATCGAGCTGCAACGATACAGTAAGGAGCGCACAACTCTCAGCATTTAATTACATTTAACTACTGAAATCTATGGAAATCAACCTCTAGTAATTCATGGTCGGGGTGCTTTTACAGCTGGTGGAGTATTTTGTTTTTCTAGTACCTCTAGTTTCAGATTTTGACTTTGTTTATGATTTTCCGAAAGGTATATAACTGCTGATCCACGGCTACAAAATTTACTAATAGTTCATTTTTAAGCCCTCTGATTGTTACATTTGGGGGAATCTCTGTGTTTTAACATTTAAATAGAAATATCTCTCTCTTATTATCGTAGGGAGTTGGGTAAAAGATGAAACAATTGACGTGAGACATTGGAGGAAGCTGGAGTACGAGGTCATAAAGTTGAGGTTTATTTCTCCCTCGTGATTTCTCTCAGCTCTCTTATACTTCTTTTAAAGAAAAATTTGAAACTTTGTGGATTAGGAATACAAATCTTTTTATCTTACTGTCTGTTGTCTAGCTTGTTGACTTCAAACTTTATGAATGAAATAAGTAACGTCTATGTTTTACTGTATGCAGTGCAAACTGGGAGTTTCACGTAACACTGCATATGAAGGGCACGTGTTTCCTCTGCCTGAGAAAGAGATTCACGAAAGAACTTGGGTATAAAATAATCTGTTCTCTTATATATTAGTAAAGGTGACACGACACCTTTCTTACACTAGAATACCACGTTTCGTTAAGAAATAAAATCACATATTAACATTTGCAAATGAGTTGCCTGTCAAAATCCCAATTGCAGATGAGCATTGGAAATATTAGTAAGTCACCTCACATCACAAAGCTAGCGAAGCAAAGGGAACTATTTGCAGGAATCAAACGTACACCCGGTGGTAGAGCAGCTATTCCACTGGAGTCGGAGTTGGAGTTGTGTGACATAATAGAGAATTAGAATCAGAGTTGTCAAAAGAGATGAGCATATATATCTTTTGCAATCAGAAACATTGAATTGATTGTATTTTCTCTTGTTTTTTAACTAGTTCTCGAACCCGTGTATTCTATGCTAATTAGTACAATTTTTTTAAAAATAATAGAGAAGGGAATGAAGAGATTGAGCAGATGTGAGAATTCCAAAAAATGACCAAGCAAAATAAGTCACATAATACAAAACAAAGTCCGACCAAGCCATGAACATAACTCAACCATTAGAAGCAGGACTTGGAAAAATATTTGAATAGGATGGGATATTTGTAAAAGTGGAATGGAATGGGTTCTAGGAAATGGATCCTCAACATCATTTTGGCTAGACAGATGGCTCCCAAACAATAGAACAATTAGGGATATGATTCATGGTCCTCGTTCTCTCAATAGGAATAGACATAAATAAAAATTGTTTTTACTGCAATATACCAGAAATCACAAAACTTATTTTTCTAGAATGCCCCAACGTAAGAAAGCTTTGGGAAAACATGGGAAACATTTACACCATTAACAAGTTCATCAACAACCCTGATAAGCATTGGTTGGACTTTCTAAAAGACCTTAGCATCACGATCAAAAAGCAATTACAATGGTGTGATGCTTTTCCTTTTTACATGTGGAATATTTGGTTGTCCAGAAATGATAACTATCTAACACAAAAAATAACATTCAAATGAATACTCCTTTTAACCATGCTATGGAGTTCATGTATTTAACTGGGAAAACTCAGAACGTGAACAAACCCAAAATTGTTCATGTACAATGGAAACCTCAAACCCCCATCCAATGGATACAAGTTGAATATTGATGGCTCATCTTATGGAAACCCAGGAAAGGGAGGAATTGGAGGAGTAATCAGAGACAAAGACGGCAACTGGATTGTTGGATATATGGGTGACATATATGACACAACGGCCACCAAAGCTAAAATTATGGCGCTACTAAAAGGCCTTGATATTGGTCTCTCAAATGGGTTAATGCCATTGTAAATCAATATGGACTCCATAGACGTCATTAATTTAATTGCAACTAACCACCCATCTTATATCAATATTTTGAATTATTGCGGGGCATTGCTTCACCAACTAGGGAACCCCTTCATCCAGCACAACTTTCGGGAAGAAAATCAAGTAGCAGACACATTAGCCAAAGAAGTATCTACGATGCAACAAGCAAACTCTTTTGTGCAATGGATAGTTTCACATTTGTTTGTACTTAGTAAGGTGGTAGCAGATAAACTAGGAACTCCTTTTGTTCGGTTGAAAAGGGCTCCAATAGATCCTCGAAATTGTAATAACGATGAAGCCTCCCCTGAAAATAGCTCTAGCAGACTAGCTGCCATTCCACTCCCTTGTAATAACGCATATTAGTTTCTATTAATATATTATCTCCATTTTACCAAAAAAAAAAAGTCACATAATACAAAATAAAGTCTGAAGATGAAAAATGCAAGAAATGAACAACAAAGAACAAAAGAGAACAAAAACTATTAGGAGCAAAACAAAGGTCTAAGAAACTAATATAAAAAGAATATATCTTTGTTGCCAAAAATGCGAAGAATACACCAAATATTGAGTATTTTAAAAAAGAAACATATAATAATTTGACAATGGTGCAAAGGCTAAAACTATTGAATTTATAGAAGGTAAAAGAATATGAAAAGTCCACAAGCTTAGGACTAAGGAGATTGCTTCAGTAAAGGTGTAGTTGAAATAATGCTCAGTTGGAGAGGCGACTTGAAAGACAGAGTCTGACATGAGTACTAGATATCCTTAGTTTTTCAAGGCTTCAAGTACTTTCTTTTACTTTATGTTTGAGGACGGACATAGTTTTTAGTGGTGGATAATGAAATGATCAGGAAGGTTATTTTTGAAATTTTGTAATATTACCATTTTACCCCTTCCGATAGTTGGCCCGAGTCATTTCTGATCAGTATGTGAAATTGGTTTCGAAATTTGAGTAATAGATTGCGATTTTTGAAAGTTTTGAGTTTTTAAAGGCTTAAGTTGTTAAAAAGTAGTTTTTGGTGTCAAATAGAGTTTAAGTCTCGGAGTGGAATTTCATCAATTCCATCAGTTCCGAAATGCAAAATTTGGTCAAGCAAAGTTGTTGGTTTCAAATTTGATGTTTTTTGTGGATTTGAGATTTTAAGTTGGAAAATTACGAAATTTTAGCCTTTGAGTTGACTTTGGTCAACATTCGGAGTTCAGATGCTTGAATCGGATTTTCACTAGTCCCATAGGATTTGGGTGATGATTATAGGCCTAGGAGAAGTCTTGGTTGATTTTTTAGAGGTTCCAAGCTTAGCTTGGATTTTTTAGACGTTATGTTAGTTTATTGCAATTTTCACATGTTTCGAGTCAAGGATACCTTGGATTCGTGTTTCGATGATTTTGTTGAGCCTGGAATGTTGAGTTTAGTTGGGTAGCATATCTAGTTTGTGTACTTAGGGTTCTGATTGTATTCTAAGGGTCCATTTGGAATATTTGTGTTGGCTGATGGTTTCTGGTGCTTGCAAACCTCGCGTTCGCGAAGGGTCTTCTCTCTCGCTAGGGTCGCGTTACCTAAGACCGATCGCATTTGCAAAGGGTCAGAGGTCTGACCCTCACTTTCGTGAAGGTTTTCTCACGTTCACGACCTTTGCATAAGTGAACGGCGGTTCACAAAAGTGAGGCTAGACATTCTTTCAGGGATCGTGTTAGCAATCTGATGGTTGCATTCGCGACGTTCGCGGAAGCGAATCATAAGTTTGCTTTTGCGAGACTTGAGAGGGTTTTTGGTCTAAAATTTTGGGGTTTTTCCTCATTTTCCATTTTGAGCTTTGAGGACTCAGTTAAGGCGATTCCAAGTGGGTTTTCAAGATAAATCATTTGGGTGATGAATTTTAATTTCCCTTCGGTATTATTCCATGATTATGGCAAGATTTTTCAACTTAAATTGCTATTTTGAATTCAAACCTTGGTTTTTTGTTTTTTATTAACTTGAACTTTTAAAAAAATGGTGATTATGAATTGAATACAACTCTGTTTTCGAAATGGCTTTCACCAATGGATTCCAAATGCTTTGAATGACATATTTATGTAAAAAAAATCCAGAATCAAATTTGATTTTCAAAATCAGGTTTTTGAGTCGATTTGGCCCATTTACTCAAACTGCTTGATATGGGTGTTGTTAGTTCTAGAATCTCATTATGAATACTTCGTTAACTAGATTGTGTTGGTTTGGATATCGTTCGGAAGGTAAAAGCTCAAGTTTTGAATTGATTTGTGATTGATTAAGGCAAGTAAACTTCTAAACCTTGCTAAAGCTTGTAGAATCTTGAACCCTCTTTCTTGTATGTGTTGGGGAGTAATGAGAATGAGGCGATGGGTAATTGCTCAAAAGGAATAATCTTAATGATAGAAATGAGGTTAATGAAAAAGGCAATGTATTGATAATGGTGTATTGTGTATTGTGTATTGTGAATTGCCTTGAGTGTTGATATTTATTCGGTAATTGATGTGATACTTTGATAGTATTGGTGTGGATGTGAATTGCTTGTGATTGTTATCTCTTCATTATTGTGTGAACATGCTTATTTGCATTGGTTCTGTAATACTGTTAGGAGATGTATTGTGTTGATGTTGAAGTCATTGCCAACGAGTGTTATTGATGCCGATGTCATTGCAGACGAGTGTTATTGATGCCGAGGTCATTGCCGGCTAATGTTATTGATGTAGAGGTCCTTTATGGCGAGTGTAATTGATGTCAAGGTCATTATCGACGAGTGTTATTGATGCTGAGGTATTTGCCAGTGAGAACATGGACTATGTGTGTTCCCCATTTGTCCTAATTGATAATTGTAATAGATAAACTTGATTTTTGAGATTGGTGACATTGACTATTCTAATTGATGACTTTGGTAGTTGTGATTGATGAACTTGACCCTTGTGATTTGATGAAATGTAATTTGTTGATGTGACTTTGAAACCTTGTGAACTACTGTGAACTATTAGGTTGGGCAGATTTTTGTGCAGGTTATAGTTGTGACGGTTTGATTGGGATGAAAGGAGTTCTTGTTTTCTAGCTAGTTTTACCTTGTGTTTAGTGGTTGCTTGCTGGGTATCGTGTTGTTTGGTACTCACTCCTTGCTTCTATACCTATGTAGGTTCCGAGCACGGATCTGTGTGATAACCCTTCTTCTGTCTACATCTGAGGCTTCTTGCGGATACTTGAGTGGTAGTTATTTGTCATCCCAATAGACCCTCTTGTTCCTTGTTTATGTTATTGTTCTATTCGAGAAACAAGACATTCGAGACTTGTAATTATCTTTCCAACTTTGTTATTATACATTAGTGACTTGTACATGTGACACCTAGGTTTTGGAGGTATTTGAGAATGACTAAGTTTTCCGCGCTTATGTTATTATTAGTTTTTCCGCATTTTCTTTTGTGTCGCTGGATTCATGCTGACTTGTCTTGGTGGGATAAATGAGTGTCATCACATCCGTTTTTGGATCGTGACAAAGACACTTTCTCCCCCTTAGGCATAATCAAAAAGAAAAGAAAATAGCACATGACCATAAGATAAAACAAGCACTAGCAGATAATAACGCATAGTCAGGAAGGTAAAGAACCTCAATATACAGAGCCCAAGATGTTTTAGAAGGGACAGACCCTCCAATTTTTGCAACATTTTCATCAACTTCCATCCGCTTTACTAGTTGCAGTATGGATGACTTCCCATTGAAGTGTGATAGTTCTTCCAACAAAATCCTCCCATCAAAAGAATGTGGTCAACGACTAAAATTAGACGAACCAACACCTCTAAGTTTTGGCAATTTCACGGACATTGCCAATCATATCTTGAAAGACAATATGACGATAATTGTGATCAAATCATATATTGAATGATAACATGACGATAATTGTGATCAAACTCTTCAACCCAGTTGTCAAGATTTTCTCGCATGACACTGTAGGAAGAATGCGTCAAATGACAGGTATGTACAAGGGTGAGGTTTGAGATGGAGTGACTTGGTATGAGTTTGATCGTATTCAAGTCTGTCGCGGACATTTTTACATCAACATGATCATGTAAAAAAGAATCAAGTAAAATATTCTCCAACCTTAATTATCACTAAAAAAGGTTTTGCACCTT